AGCTATTCCTAAAGAGTGGAGCTATTGAAAACTTCCTTTCAAGGTGATTTATTTCAACACTCAGAGCCAGCCGAGAGAACATTTTTTTCTTATATTCATGATCAACAGCCAAGATACATTTGAAAGTCGCTAATATATCCCTGTGACTATTTTTTTTTTTAATTTGTTTTCCAGTGTTGATTGATTTTTCCCTGATTAGTGTGATTTTCTTGTTCCTTAACTCAATATCTTGCAAACTGTTGATAGCTTTGATGAAATTTTGTAACAAAGCTTGTTCAAATTTTGAAAACTATAAAAATATTCAGCTATTTTTATGGTTATAAACTTTTCCAACACTTAGTCCAATTAGAGGTACTTAGATTACATGCAACATTTTCAGAGCTTATTCCTTTTTTGTTTTCTACTTGGAACTTTTCAATTTATTTAAAACATTGGACATAGTTATAAGTTGTTATTAGGTATTCTTTGTTATTGTTTATATATTTTGACATAACCGCACATAACCAAAATATTGACCAAAGTCCTTAACCACTTTTTATCACCTTAATCCAAAAATTTTATTCGTACGGTTTTGTCAACTGGAATAAATTTTCATTATTATGTTTAATTTTTCATGTCTTTTATCATGAATTGTTATTTTTAAATAAATAAAGATGTTTTTAACTATAATAGGTAGGTGATACGAGGCCATGTGCCTGAACGAAAAGAAGACGTAGATGGCGTATCTGCATAGCATTAAAAATTGACTACTTCATTAAATCGTCACTAGATGCCGCTCGAGATTGCATCCAACACTTTTTACTGTTGCATTATCCTACTATATTTATCTTCATACAACGATACAGGGTTTTGCGTTTTTGTCTGACAAATAAAACGGTATATTTTTTAAAAAGAAAACCCTGTATTTTACTTCAGTTTTTGAATGCTTTGGTAACGCTGTATTCAACCCTAGAATTTTATTAACAAATATTTCAGGATTGCCAATAAATTAATTTTATTATGAAATTAGAGAATGATTCAGACCCCAAATTAAATTATCATTATTTAGGTAGGTTTAAAATAATTTCAAATTTTTTTTAAATGTAGTAATAAGATAGTAAGCTAACGAATAGTGGTAATAGAACTGGATTATTTTTTACAGTGTGTTTTGAAAAACAAGTCTTAAATATGGCTAATTCCAAGTTAAATTTATTTATTTTTTTTCAAATGCCACGCCCTGTATATTATTTAAGCATTTAATTCCTTATAAATTAACATATCCAACGATATCAATAACACATATACAGGGTGTCCCATGAGTGCGTAATTGATCGATAGCAGTTTTATAATAGGAAATACGAAAAAAATTAATATAAAAGTTGTATGACCATATTTAACAATTATTTATAAATATACAGGGTAATCCATAAACGATTGTCTGACCAAACCTATACATTTTTAAAGTAAAACACGCTGCAGGTAGTTATACATATTTGACTGTTTTCACATCGTCGAACAATAATTTAAATTTCATTCATTTGCTATGTTGTATATAGGATATGTGAAAATGGTCACGATTTTCTTAATTTTCTAAATGGGACACCTTGTATGTTATGCCACCAATTAATATAATATTCCATTGAAAAAAATTTAAGCATTTGTAACCTCGCGTGTTGACACACTCTATATAGAACATAGCAAATGAATAAAGTCAATTAAAATTATTTGACGACGTGAAAACAATCAAATATGTATAACTACCTGCAGGGTGTTTTTATTTAAAAATGTATAGATTTGGTCAACATCTCGTTTATGGACCACCCTGTATATATAGGAATAATTTTTAATATGGTTATACAACTTTTATATTATTTTTTTTTTCTTATTTCTAATATTAAAACAGCTATCGATCAATTACGCACTGATGAGACACTCTGTATATATGTTATTCTCTAACATCTTGGTATCGTTGGATATGCAAATTTATAAGGAATTGTATGCTAAAATATTATATCAAATGCTGCCTTTGAAAAATTGAGTAATTTTACTTAAAAGTAACAATTTTAAGACATGTTTCAAAACACTCGCTATAAAAGAATCCAGCACTATCACTACTATTCGTTATCTTAATGTATATTAAACAATTTTGAATTATGATAATTTAATTTGGGGTCTGCATCATTTTCTAATTTTATAAAAATTTAATTGCTTGGCAGACCTGTAATATTTTTTTAAATTATTCTAAGGTTGAATACAGTATTACCAAACCATTCTAAAATTGAAATAAAATACATGTTCTATTTTAAAAATATACCAAGCAAAAATGTAGCACCCTGTATATATCTAAAAATATTTTTAAAATATGTATTTTTTAAATCCATATAACTTTTCTTTGAAACATGTTTGCGTGTCTTTAACATAAATTAAAATATTGAACAATTACGCACTAATAGGACATACACATGGGTTCATACACATAGCAGTGAACGTGTTAACTCAGAAATAAGATTCCTTATAAAGATAAAATAACATTCAGGAGAAGAAAGCAAAGATCGCCAATATTACGTGCGTATCATACAATGATGCCAGGTCATTCGGATTTAATTTACATCGGAATGCAATAAAGTTCCTTCCCTTTCCTGCATTTCACCATTGTATATTTCACCCACTTTAAAATCAAATTCGTCCTAGAAAGAATTGTGAAATTATCGTATAAATCGATAATCTGGCAACGTGGTCAACACTTGTTCATACACAGGCAAAATCAATTGATAATTTGGAACCAAACGAGACAAATATATATGAAAATCACGAAACAATAAAAGACGGCATACACCTGTATCACTGTTTCAAAAATTGGTACCTCTAAACAATCATTTACCTATTAAAACCATGTCTAAAACAGAGTAGCTATCTTGTTTTTTTTACGGTGACATCTTCTTAAAAATAGATGAACTACATGAACTATACACAATTACAGGAATTTATAGAAAATCTCTAATTTGACAAATAAATTTATCAAATATTTGTTAATCGTATTTCCAGTTAGATTTGAAAAATACGCAATAAAATTTAGAAATATTTTGGCGGGATACTTGGAAAAATATGTAGAATGAAATCTCCTACTTTTTAGCCTCTGGTTTTAAAATCACTTTTTATGATTTTTTTTAAAATTCAGTGTATAAACAGGACAAATAAAAAATAGGAGATTTCATTCTCCAAACCTTATACTTTAAGCTGGTAGAAGATTCATTTTAATACATTTAGCGGGATTTAAATGCAATCGGAAATGGTGAACCCTTGCTTCTTATATGAGAAATACAGTGATACTGCGGCCTTAAAAACAAAAATTACAATAACTAAAATATTCATTAATAGTTGTAGTGTTTGAAAACAGTATGATATTGATACACTTGTACAAAGTTTTGAACCGAACTTACAAATGATAAAATTATTGGAAAAAATGAACACCCATTTTAAATTACCACAATTACCCATATTTGTCTTTGTTGATCATGGCCTACTTTAAAAACATTTTTTTGTGAATTTTATAATTAGCTTATGTTACTTTGGTAATTTGAAATAATATGAACTCCTGGTGGGGCGATCCGAAGTCAGCGACCCTTCCGGTCGTGAGTTCGCGTTTCAGGTTTCCACTCCACTGGTGAGTGATTCAATCTGTTAAACGCATCTCATTTGTTGTATATTAATACGCGAATGCGAGTATCGTAATCGCGTTCTTCATCTTCATTTGAAGAAAATGTAACAAATGTTTTCGCAAATCTGCACACTAGAACGACTGATCTTCACATTTTTTTTTTTTCGTAAACGCTCCTACTTGAAATTAGTTTTTTTAATTTTTTGATTTTTTTTAACCTGCCTCATTTTTTTGTACACTATATATGTAAGTCCAAAATTAAAGACTTTAACCCTCCGATACCCGCGTGGCGTCTGACAGACGCCACTCTCATTATCAATACGCAGAACTTCTTAAAATAGTGAGATTCGGACTTCTCCTTTCATGTACCTTCCTAATACGTGTACTAGATATGTGTAGTAAAAAACAAAATCGCATAAACAAATACAAGTTCAAGCAATGCACTAATTCCATATACCTCGAGCATGCAGAATATATATGCTAGTCCTGTAATTTCAAATTAAATAGTTACTATCACGTTTGAGTATTTGTTTTTTTTTTATTTTGTTGTATTATTCTATTTATGCTAAGAAGTTATCTGTGTATTTTATAAATTTATTTTGTTCATGTTTTAAAACGTAAAAGATGTTATATTTATTACATATTTTATTTTACCGTTATTAAAGAAGAATTTTTGTTTGTGAATTTAGGTTAGAACAAAAATATATATATATGAGTAATATGTAAATTATTTAAATAAAACCTTCAGCATATATTTTCATTGCACTCTTATGAATTAATTGAATGGCGTCTCACAGACACCACGCGGGTACTCTTGTTTGGAAATTGAACGCGGGTGACCGAGGGTTAATAAAAAAACTTCAATTGTTATAAAATGTGAATTGCAGTTACTCATTACATCCCCTTGTATCGACGCCACGCTACGCCACTGCAACTCATTCATTCTACAGTCCAAGTAGACTCTAAACTGTACAAATTTGGTCACCCACTCAAGGCGTAACCAGGGCCACATTGCTGGGAACTTGTGATGATCTTTCACAACACCCAGCGCCCCTTAAAATTCGAAACATGCCAAAATTATATCAATGATATTCCTATATAACTATACTAATCAAATGTTTAGTGCACATTAGGGCGAGATTTAGTCTATGGCTACTCTTACTGCCTATTAATTCTGAATTCAAACACAGCCAGTTCTCTTTAGGGAACATCTCTTCACATTACAACTTTACACTAAGATGGATTTGGACAAGTCGGAGAACCTTTTCAATCAGAAATAAACTTAAGCCCTAACATCAATTTGTTTTTCCTGGGCAGTTTCTTATTAAATTGCCCTCTTTTAAATAGGGAAAAGAAGACATACCTTCATCAATATTGCAACCAGTCCAGCAATTCCAGTTTTGTTGAGGTGGTGACCAAGTCACAACACCAGCTTCTGTTGGCTTAGCTGGATGGAAGTCATCCAAAACATGATGACTCAAAAGTGAAACTGCACCTGTATCGCCATCTTCATCCTTGACACCAGTTGTCACAGGTGTGGGAGTTACATTTAATTCAGTCAAGCAATCTTTAATTGTATTTTTCAATTGAGGAGAAATTTTTACTTGGAATGGTTTCATTTCTGCCGCTCCCTTCTTTTCTTTCTTTAGTGTACCTATAAAAATTATACAAATTAATAGCAAAAGATCTAATTTTAAAGATTTTTATAAAAATTAATACATAATTCATTAGAATAGGTACCTGCAAATGCTTCAATAACCCCCAAATGGAACAACTGTCTAATAATTGACAGAGCACAACTTTTACTGGCAGTTTGTTTATTAGAACCAGTATCACGTCCATGGATGTGTCTGCCTAGCTGTTTAACGTAAAAATTTATCTCTGCCACAAATGTCCTAAAATAAGGATAAAAATTTACAGAAACTTAATTTCATATTTTTGTTTATACTTACATTGTTGTTCAAAGAAATCATCAAGATGTTGACAGGACCTATATAAAAACATAAACCAAAAGCAATTAATAATTGGCTTTTTTTTATTAAATGAGATATTCCCTTAGATAAAATAATTAAGTTGCTAAGCCATATAATTGCTTTAGCAAGTAATTTTAACATTTTATTGCCCAATTTTTTGTTGATGTAAAATGACAATTGAAACACAATCTTAGTTTCGTAAAAGTTTTATCAAAAACAGGGATAACAATTCATGAATAATCATACAAATTTGATGATTTCAATGAATTCTGCTACAACTTTACATTAGATATTCGCAGAAGAATTATTCAGTAACTTTGAAAAATATTTTTTTATTATTTTCAATCAAATATTACACAAGTTTTAGGTGAAAATTAAATTATTTAAAAATTATCTCATCATTTAACTACTCATAACTGTTTGTAATCAACATTTTTGCCTTTTGTTAAAAAATTAATGATATCAATGATAATCAAATATCATTCTACATTAATACAAAATCCAATTGCTTTTTTATGAACCTATTATGTAAAAATCACATTTTATTATTCAGTGCACTGCTTCCTAGAAGTACACTGAATAAAGACACTAACAGATACTATAAAAAGTTAATATAATATCCATGAGTGTTATAAAATTAAATATTTTACTGCTTTTGGTAAAGTTTTTATACAGATCTTGCCTAAAATAAACGACTTTCAAAAAATGTGCGAGTGTAACAGAACACTCACATTTTCTTTGAAGTTTTTGAAAAAATAAACCTGCGCTTGCTGTAAAGAAAACAACTAAAAAATTTTCTAAAACAGCAAGCGCTAATAAAAAATAATTAAATTTTTCCACTTTTATGTCTATATGAAAAAATGATGACTTTTTTCCACCTACTTTCAAGTAATTAATTTTTTCCAGATATATTTAACACATCGAGTTAAACCAATGAGGATGGACAAAACCAATGAAAAAACCCTCCAACCTAATTATTAGCAGTGGTTTTCTAAAATGTCAGAAATTAACTTAGTAACTTTACTAAAACTAGTCTTGACATTCATTTCACTTTCATTCACCCTAATATTGACTTTTTAACCTTTTCATGATGGATAACGACTACCAGGCATCCGGGAAATGTCTGAAGTTAAAAGTGCGACGGCTTAGTTAAGGCCCCGCTTGCCTCAGCCGTCTTCTAAATAAAAAACAATACAGGACAAAATAACCCAATTTCTTGAAGCTAAATAACTTTAACAAGCAATATAAAGACAGTAAAAGTCGTTAAGAATTCATTAATGATTTTCTATTTATAGAAGTTATGCATGTGTGACTAACAATACAAGAGAGTAATAATGGTAAAAGTAGAAAAAATATTGTGTGTATTCATGGTGTGGGACCTCGCTGTATTAGTCTTGCAAATATTCACTTGGTTAACACAAAATACGGCATTTCATAACTGGTTGCATAAATAGCTATTAAAAACTAATAACTAATTATTAAAATAAATGACTAGATATGTCAGTTTAAAAACTCTCAGTTAAAAAAATACTATGTGTCCTAGTTGCATGCTAATTAAAATTACAATTTAATATTGCTTTGAGTCTGATTTATTAACTCATATGTTTTCATTAATATTGTAACTAAAATAATGTGTATCATTTAAAAAAAATAAATTTCAATTTTCTATATTGTTAAAAAAAATCACAAAATAAGAAGGGTCCAAACTATTTTCTCTTACTGTATTTAAAATAATCAGGACTCCTTTATAAATATATACCTACAGTAATTGTTTTCTTTTAGTACAGTAGTAAAAAAAAATCATCAATTTTTCATTGTCAGTATAAAATGAAGTAAACATTTTAATAAAATCCTAAATGGAGAACATAATCTTGAGTTAACAAACCTGGAATGATCTGGTCCAACTTGGGTATATTTATAATCTGCATGAATCTTATTTGATTGCATAAATTGATGCAGTTTAGACTTTGCATTTTCAACAGTCCAATTTCCATGGATTTGAGCATTAACATCCAGATCTTCAGCTTCTTCCACCTTTTTTTGTTCTTGAGCCCTATCCATGTAATGCCACTGATCATCCTGGCGACCACGAGGTCGATAGGCCTCTCCATAGCTTGCAGGACCCATACCTTGACCAAATACTTGATGTTGTGGACCAGCAGCCAAATTCTCTTGCTGTCCATCTAAAAAACATGAATTTTTATTATTTTAATTTAAAATGTATCCAAATTTTTAAACGTACGGTGAATAACAGGAGCAGGAGCTGCATCAACTTCAGCAGGAACTTCATTCTGATTTACGAACCCCTGTCTTACCAAAAATGATACAAAATCTTTAGCTGCATTACTCTGAGCGTCTTTTTTATTTGTTGAATTTCCAGCACCTACATAATTGTAGGTAGCTATTCGCAGTTCACACAAAAATCTTTGGCGAGTTTTAGGTCCTAAAATAAGAGTAACATGATAAATAATGCACAGAGGAGTGGATTTTTTAAATAGAACTATTAAACAGTCTGAAATACGGCCATTGCAATGTACAAAACTGTAGATAGTCACTAGTGTACTGTGTTGCTATTTTAAAGTGTCCAACCTATTTATTTCCAATTTTTGGTACAACCTCTAAAGAATATTTTTTTAAAGATTAATCAGGTTGTTTTAATTTTGATAAAGAATTCATGCAAAAATATAGCTACTACCTTCTATTATGCAAATATATACTCAATAATGCAATACGAGCTTTGTTCCAACACACAATTATTGTCATGAAACGGTCACAGTACTACGGTACCGCTTTTATAGGCATGCGTCGACTTTGATCGGTTCTATACTGGTTCTCAAAGGTAGAGACGTTGGATGTTGGAACGATTATGTGATCGATTTGGTGTCAAACTTATAACCTAAGTTTCTTACTTAATTTTGTTTGTTATAAGAAAATATTTTTTAAAGCAAAGATGAGTATGAATATAGAAGATAACAACATAGTGTTTGGTGTGTTAAATTTTTCATGACAATTATTCTTGTAAATAAATAATTTAAAGAAATAAAAAAAAATAATTAAAATGGATATTAATTAGGTATTATTTTTAGATTTACAAGAATTTATAACATTTGATGAACCGGGGCTCTCACAGCCAAGTAATAGTACACAAAGTACATCTATGGTAATTTTTTTTTATAAAGTTTCATAACAGAGTAGGAACATTACCCATAAAATTTTTTAAAATGTCATGAAAAAAGATTTTCGAAGAATTTAATTAAATGAACTTAAATGTCACACCCAATAACTGTCTGAACAGTTAGAGAGTTCTTGAAAGGAACTATAAAAAGTTTGTCGACAACCAAAATAAAACAGGTGATTTGCGGAAGAAACTGAAACACCTACATCAACAGAAAATGTAGAGAATGTGGACAAACAAACCAATTACCCGTAAAAAGATCCAAATTGGCTGTAGTAAAAAAAAAAGATAATAAGAAAAAATTAGACAGGACAGAAAATAATTTCAAAATAAAAATTAATTATCGAGAAACAAAAACTAGAAGAAATAAGAAAAAGAAATAAATTAATAGAAGAAAGAAACAAAATATTAAAGGAAAAAAGTGTTGTTGTCATAACAAAACTAAAATAGTTGAATTTAACACAATGTGTGGGTCAGTTCCTCTGGATTCAGCTTTGCCTCGGGTATCGAAATGATGGTATGGAATTCGAAACAGGAACAATTTTTTGTTCTGCACATGACAGACGATACGGTGACGGTTTCCTATCTTGTTGGAACAAACCTATGGTATCGTATTGTGAGGTAGGTTGTGTCTTAGCAGATAACATTTTTAAAATACAAAAAAGAGCTTTAAGAATAATAATGGGGAATTATCCTCATCGCTTCTATCCTTTTCTCTCATTTAAGAGAAAGGGAGAAGGATATCAGAATAGTTCGGATTATTTCTTGTTCGCTGTATTTGTATAAGTTGTGTGTTTTATTCTAACCTATTTTGCGTGTTTATATTTTGTTCGAAATTTTTAGTGTTTCTACAGCAGTTTACTAATATAATAAATTTATAAATCGTATCAGTAAATAAATAAATGTATGATGACCGTAGTTATATTTATAATTGTTACTTTATAAAAAAATAGTGTTTACCTACTCTAGCAACATATATTAAAGTGATCTCCCAAACAGTATTGTATAGGTTTATAAAGTCCTACAGTTTGAAATCACAATTGTCTCATATTTGAGTCCCTGAGATAAATATAAATTTTTTGTATCTGTTGAATTTAAACAAGACAAGACACTTATACAACAATTCCAAAATACCTATATTTCTTCTCACAAAACGCAATAGCAAAGAATAAAATATACTATAGCAGAAGTAAAAGTTGGAAAGGCCTTTGCTGCCAGTTCTCCCACTTTATACACATAAAATGACAAGTTTGCGGCGGATCTCACCAAAGTGGACGCGATACATTGGCTTACAAAATTATTTTATAGTTGTTAATAACAATTTCGAGTAAATAAATTAATAAATTGTGAATAGCTGTTGAAATTTTGTAAAATTATGATTTGAATATTATAATACATGTTTAATAATTATTTATAGTCCATAAATACATGCGATTGTCCGGTTCCGCCGATAACAATTTAAAATTACTTATTCTATGAAATGACACTGGCAGGCAAACATTACTGGGAAATTCTCGAAGCCGTCCGACGTGGTTTGACGTTTACCCCCTCTCTACCTACCAAAAGCCTTTCCAACTTTTACTTTCGCTATAAACACATATCCTTTAAGTAAAGGTGTTTATGTTACCCAAATATTTTTTATATACATTGTAATTTAGTAATTATTATTATATTCCTGTCTAAGCAACAATAAGATTAAATTGGGACCCTAAACTACAAGAATCACCTGGATTACTTCTGAATATGCTTTTTAAACATAGTGATATTATAATAAAAAAAAATCAATCAACAAAATTAGTAATAATTCAATATTTAGGTATAACAAATCAATACATTCATGTAGTATTCGCGATTCAAGCTAAGTGATACGTCCTCTGGAGGAAATTTGTAGAAGGTCCGTATAAGTAGGATATCGTTCACTGTTGCCAGAAGTAGCAAAACTTCGCTACGTCGTCGGATTTTAGCTCTTGAAGAAGTGGATAAGACCTTTTATTTAATAATCAAAATTTGTGTATGGTAATATGTTATCATACTCTATATTTATTTAAGGTTTTTTTTATAAAACTGATTTATTATATTGATTTTTTTTTTAAATTTCAGTTTATTAATTTTGTTTTAAAATCAGTTCATCATTTGGCAACATTGGCGTTCATGTTCATTGTTTACATTTTAATTTGTATCAATTACAATTCGAGATTTTTCTTATTTTTTAGCTTTAAATTTGTTTATTTCTTATAGCATGTGATAGTGTTTATATTATAACCCTTGTTAATAGAAGAATATTGATGGATCTATCATTCCTCCATAAGATCATAGCCGGGTTTATTACTTCTGATGAGTTATTGACAACATTGGCGTTCGTGTTCATTGTTTACATTTTAATTTGTATCAATTACAATTCGAGATTTTTCTTATTTTTTAGCTTTAAATTTGTTTATTTCTTATAGCATGTGATAGTGTTTATATTATAACCCTTGTTAATAGAAGAATATTGATGGATCTATCATTCCTCCATAAGATCATAGCCGGGTTTATTACTTCTGATGAGTTATTAGCTATGATTGAATTTAGAGTTCCCACAAGAACTACAAGAAATAATAGTTTATTTGCCATTCAACTTCACCTTACCAATTATGCTTATCATGCACCTCTACCTAGACTAATGCGACTGGCTAATCAATACAATTTAGACATCACTGGGTGTTCTATTAGTCAATTTGTGAATGATGTAAAGAGAATTTGTTTTTAATATCTTTAGTTTAGTTTATTACATTTCATATATGAAATTTTAGATTTATTGTGCCTACCTTTTTTAATGTACTTAAGCTATTTTATGTAAATTATTGATACTAATTGGATTTTTTCGTAATATATATATATATATATATATATATTTTATATTAAAAATGAAATCTGCGAAAAAGTCCCCAGAAAATTGCAATCTATATTGTGTTAATGTCAAAATCAAAACTGAAATATTCATTATTTTCCAAGTATAAGTCGTAAAATTTTGTTTTTTATGATAAATGGATATCTACAAATTCACAATATTGAAATTTTACAAAACTTTGTTTAGAATCAAACTGTAATCTTATTTTTTGACGGTTTTATTACCATTTACATGTATACAAAGTACTACATGATTCACTTCATAATATAAGAATAAGTCTAGTAAGATTTTTAAATAAGTTCATCCATAATAAACGTGTGGTACCTGAAATGTCCTTTAAACCACATAATAAAACATGTCCTGGGTTTAGTGAATACATATTTTTGGATGTTCTTGTAGCAACCAATAGGTGAATATTTCCAACAAATTAAGTCATACACATGATAAATACTATATTTATGACGAAAGCACGAGACTTAAACTTAAATTAACACTAAATGAAACTCAAAAACACTATTATAATGAGAATATTATCTAAAAACAGTTAAAAAAATTACAAATACAAAATCCGCTTAGAGCATATAGGAATAGAGGTGTTACTCAAATGGGTTTGTTATGTACTGAGGAGGGTAACCCCTTCGATGTTAGGTACACGACGCATTATGATTGGCGAGTTAGGTACACGATGATTTATGATTGGAGAATTTAAATAGCGCGCGTATTTGTGTTAAATGACATTTTTGGTTTTTAAAAAGATCAGTTTTTGGGGCTACTGAAGATAATTTGGACGAGGTGCCTCTTTTATAAACTTTTAAAGTGTGTTTTTATTTTAAAATAAATGCTAATCATGCCAAGAGTTTGTATAGTTTGCAATAAAATATTCCTAAAGGATCCCAGTTGACATTTCGCAAGTAAGTATTTTATATTCCATAAACGTAACTTAAAATGGGAAATGGGCAAATTAATAAGAAAACATGTTTGCAGGAAGTTCTTCATTTGAGCATCACCGCAACTCGTTGCGTTCGACAGAAAATAATTGTTTCCTTTGCGATATAATGCTTAATGTATTAGTCTTTTTGTGTATTGTAAAATGGGTTAGATACCTTTTTGTATTGTACATATTTATTTGCCATTAACTTTATAAATATTTTTTTTACTTATTTCAGATTTTCTACTGATCCCACAACCAAACTGACTTAGTGTCAAGTGCTCAGTTTGAGCATTAATAGCATGTCTAACAACACATGTCTATGTTCAGACCATTTTTTTAACTGAACATTATAATAATGGTAGCAATAAATTAATAAAAGGAGCTATACCAAAAGCTGTACCTGGCTTTCGCAAATGAGTAAGTTTTTTCCATATAAACATTAGAAGTAATGTAATTAGATATTCATATATATTTAACTTTTGAAATACACTTATTTCCTTATTTTGTTAAATAGTAAACATGTAAGTATTAGTATAACATTATTGTTTAAAGGCTTCAAAATAACGAAAGTAAAGAAAATATGCCCTTATCTCAGTTCCCAACATTGGTTATTTCGAAGTTGGAAAATAAAGATAGAAGGCTAACAAAAAAGTATGAATAGCTCTTACATTTTTAAAAATCCAATGAAGATAGGCAAGACAGGGAACTTCAATCTTTAACTGTATTGAAAAGACAAAAAATTGTTTAAAACTTGATAAACTAATCACCTAAAACCACAATGTCTGTAAGCTCCCATTCATCTACACTAACTGCTTCTGAAGGAGAAAGAGAACATATAAAGGAAAAAAGAAGGTTTATTAGAGTCAAATAAGACATTTTCTCATATAATCAAGCATTATTATGATTCCAGGAAAGCAATACCTAAGAAAAAATTTTAAGCTAAGTTATTTTTGATAGAAAATTAGCTCTTGCCCAAAAGAAGAATCTAGCAAGTTTCAACAAAATCAGTTAGTTGAAGCAAAAGAAGCTATTGTGTTCTGCTTGTAAAGTTATTAAATACGTCTATTACGAAATAGTAGGGTACCTACTATATTTTATATTATCTCTTGTATGTGTATATAGTATCTATTGTGCATATATTAATAGTATGTAAGTTTTTGTGTGATAATTTTAAAATGTTTTATGCTCTAATATAAGCAGTCAAATGTAACTGAACATTTTTCCCTGAAAATGTATATGTATCTCACGAATAAAATGTATTTTTTTTTCTGTATTCATCCCATTCTATATGTAATTGGTTTTTAACTGTTAAGTGGTACACTAAATAAATAATAAATAAATTTCATGGGAATTTGGTAGCATTAATGTTAATTTAGTTTCTTTGTTTTGTTTTATAAATAGCTTACGTTTACAAACAGATATTACATCTAGGAACAACCAATAACTATGTTTTGATTACATTGATTAATAATTTTATTAAAAAATATGTACATTTATTATTATTACTATTATAAATAAATTATTGTTATTTGTTTTTATTTGCCTTTACTTGTCTTTTATTTGCTCTATAAAAAAGATTGCAGTTTTTAAATGTTCTACTAAAGGAAAATAATGTATGGCCACGAATCCATTTGAAAGCATGTAGTTTCAAAACTTATATCTATAATAAAAAAAAGTTTTCAATCCTAAACGAACATTTCAGAAAAATATTATATAATACAGTGTATAACGAAAGCTTAATATAAATAAAAAAAAGAACTCTTATTTTTAAATAAATTTGTTTCTCTTGGTGCCAGTCTTTTTACCTTTGAGTAAAGTTGAATAACTACTTGCTGTTTAAACGATAGGCTACTTTTCACTAATCTGTCAAGCAAACATAAGTGTAACTTTACTCAGAGGTGAAAAGATGAGCCCTTAATGATGTGAATCAGTTATCTAAATTATTAGTTATTGTGACATTACACTACATAAATTGTAAACATAAATACGAACCCCTTTCAAACCGTACGCCATTGAGAATGGCGTACCTACCCCTCTCCCCTCACATCTAAAGTGATGACCCCGCTTATACATAACAAAATACATTGAATGATATCTCTAGTCTTATATGCTCTAAGAAAATCCGCCCAAAACAAAAACATGTAAATAAACATCCTACTTATAGATGACAAATGACAGGCGCGCGAAAATTAATTTGAATCGCCAATATCAAAACAAAGTACCTAACTTCATTAGGTTTTTAAATTAAACCCTTTTTGCATTATTACTACTTTTTATGATTATAATCAAATAATCAGTTATAATAACTACAACACAAGTCTGTAAGTAAGTAGTTTTAGATAATGGCATTGCACCCTTCACAAAAAAGTGTCCAGCGCTCGATGTATGAGAAATATGGACAAAGCGCCCCATGCTTTTTTCACAATAATACTAGTATTTTCCATTTATTATTGTTTTAAGGAGGTCCTTTCGCCACCAATGTTAAATAAAAAATATTAGATTATGACTAAAATTAATTTTTTTCTAATAGTTGAAGTCCTTATTTATCTAATAGTGAACTTTTAACTATACCTTACCGTGCAAATTTTTGAGAATTTTTTTTTTTAATGTATTTGTACAGTGTCTTACGAGAAAGTAAGATTTCAACAACAATTTTCGAATTATAATTAAGTATACTATTATTTATTGATTAGACAGAGTAAAAAAAAAACTAAAAATAAGGTTTTTGAAATATTTAGGTTTTGTTTTTTACAATAAAATATATAGGTTACCCTGGAATTTATTGAGAAATTAATATTAAAAAATAACAGAAAATTTTCAACTAGGTTACTTGAATTTTTTTTAATATTAATTTCTCAATAAATTCCAGGGTAACCTATATATTTTATTGTAAAAAACAAAACCTAAATATTTCAAAAACCTTATTTTTAGCTTTTTCTACTCCATCTAATCAATAAATAATAGTATAATTCGAGAATTGTTGTTGAGGTCTTACTTTCTCGTAAGACACTGTACAAATAATCACATTTTTTAAAAAAAAAATTCTCAAAAATTTGCACGGTAAGGTATAGTTAAAAGTTCACTATTTTTTATTTAACATTGGTGGCGAAAGGGGTGACGAAAGGACCTCCTTAAGCTTATTTGAAAAATTATTTTTAACTTTTTAGTTTGATATGCTCTAAAAGCGTGTTTTTTTAGTTTTTTAAACTATATTTATTTTTCACTTTTTAGTTCGATGTATTATAAAAGCGTGTTTTTTTAGTTTTTTTAAACTATATACATTTTTTACCTTTTAGTTCGATTATTAAAAAAAAAAATTTTTTTTTTTTTCAGCCGTAAGGATTAGAACCCACGATCGGCGAGTCTTGCAATCGAAAACACGCACGTTAGACCGCTCGGCCACGAACGAACTTGACTTAGTGGGATATACTGATAGTAATAAGCCCCTTGAGTTCAAAGGAGAGTTACAAACATACATTCAGGTGAAGCTAATATAAGTGTGATAAAAAATCAAGCATGCACAGCCTGGTTGTCACCAGTAAGGAAAGGTGAAATGGTTAGTAAAGTGACCCCATTTCTATTGAAAACAGAGGATTTGGTGGATTTGTTTGCCATGATTAAGCCGATGATGGTTACAGTTAAACCAGTAAGGGATAAACCAGTGACGAGTTTAACTAGTCAGGGTTACGGTTAAACCGCCGAATTCGGTCTAACTAGTCCGTTTCGACTGGCTCGGTTTGATCGGACTGGTTAACCAGATAATCGGACCGGTTAACCGGATAATCGGACCGGTTAACCGGATAATCGGACCGGTTAACAGGATAATCCGACCGGTTAACAGGATAATCCGACCGGTCAACCGGATAATTAGACAGAACCGGATAATCGGATATCCGGACCGGTTTCAATAATAGTAAAAATCCGTTTAAAACTGAAACCAGTCAAAATCAGTCGAACCGGTTAACCGTTTATCACATCAGGAATTGACAGCCTTAATATTGATAACAATAAAAACTGCTTTCAAAGCTGTGAAATGGACCAAAACTATAAAACACGGCATGGTGACATAGATCGTTATCCAAAACAGATTTAACAGAAAAAAAATCAATTTTATATTTGAATATTCTAGCTACTTAAAAAAAAAAACAACTAGATAAATATTTGTTTGGCCATTAATGAATAATTATCAAAATAATCAAATGTGAAATGTAGGTAAATTCTAAGTATTTTTTGACTATTCTTTACATCCTTTGTAATAGGTTAGGCGTATTTTTTTACAATTATTGTACCTAATGAAATATGAGTTGGATTTAATCCGTGGCGAAAAGATCAAAATTTCAACGGCCTCCTATTCCTCACGAACTTCCGTCTACAGTCAGCTCATCTTTACATTTCACATTTAAAAACTAATTTTACGTTTATAAAATGAAGATAAAACATATCCTGTACAAATGTTTTGTGTTTTGTTTACCTACTTTTTATATTGATGGTATAAAATCAATAACTTACCGGTTGGTCTCACTTCATAAACTGGCTCTAATTTATTTTTTTGGCAAAACTGATTTAAAAACGACTTTACGTTTTCGCTCATACTTCTGTATTCAATAAGCACACACTCCAATTATTTTTTTTGTAAATCTCATACGATATAGAATTATTATCACCCAAACTTTTCACAAAACCTTTGCTCTTCCTTTATATTTTTTTAATCGATTTACAGATACAAAATGGACGCACCGAACACCGGTGAAAAAGTAAGAAGCGAAGAGAGAAGAAACGGAAAAGGAAATTCGTCAGAGTTGCCAGATAAAATTTGTACAATGTCGCCAACAATAAGTCTTTTCCTTTGCATCGACAGTGTAGCACCTTTGGTAGCACTGAGCTACGTCACTTCTGAAAATATTGTTCCATGGAGGAAGGATAATTAGATAATTATATTGTTCCATCCATACAATTTGTATAAATGGAACGATATTTTCAGAAGTGGTGTAGCTCAGTGCGACACTTTCAATGCAAAGGAAAAGACCATAGACATGAAGAGGGGAGATAGGAAAATGCATGGAGGAAGGATTATTAAGAGTTGCCGTTTCTTTGTAGAAATTTGGCAACATGTTTGCTTGCAACGACCTGTGGGGTGGAGGAGTAGAACTAATCTTACTCTGTCGGTAATGTAGTTACCAGCAGTATTACCATCAACTCTTACTCTGTCGGTAATGCAGTTACCCGTAATTTTATATTTAATTTGAAAATTGGCGGTTTTTTTTTAAAGGAGAATTTACTTTTGCAATTATTTTCTAACTAATACGAAATATAGCCATACAAAATTTTGATAGTAATTTTTTTAATTTTTTAGTGAAATAAAAAACATGTACGTGTAGCTAAAATATGTTCCTCTGGAGCCACTTTTTCAAAATTTAATCAAATTTTGATGGAAGATTTCAAAAATTGAGAAAATAATTAAATCAAATTTCGGAATAGTGGCTCCAGAAAAACAGACATTTCACTTTTACCTGAAGGTATATATTTTTCATTCACTAAAAAGTAAAATTAAACTATAGAAATATTTGTGGCTCTATTTCGTATTGTTTAGAAAAAGATAATTGCTTAAGTAAATTTTCCTCTTAATTATAATTAAAATTTTCCATTTTTATTAGCTGTTTGTAACAATTATGAAATGCCCAATAAAAATGTAAAATTCTATGACAAATAATTATGAGGGATAAAATAAATATCATACAAAGTTTTATATAATTATATTTACTAAAAATTCCCAAGAAAAATAAAATCAAAGAGATGGCAATACAAAAAAATATTTTTCATATACAAGCGAGCTTATGCGAAGCAAGAATGTCTATTATTATTATTTACTATGGCGCTCCCGGACGTCTTATAAATGATTATTTAAGAAAGTTACTCTAATATCACAAACATTACATTACTATTTCGGTACGTTAACTATCTTTGGCTAACAAAAATCAGAAATTGCATAACAAATAATTAATTTACTTGATATGAAAACTAATGCCTAAGTAAATAAATTTTTAAAATAAACGAAAAACAAAACAACAAATTCTTCTTGAATCTTAGGAAATCAGACAAAAGCAACCATCCATATAAACTGAAACAGAAAAAAATTAAATGCAGTAACTTCAAATAATTTTGTTTGTCTTTTAGACATTGCAGCAGCCCTCATACTATCATTATAATACTTTCTTATTATTAATAGTAGACAAGTTTCAACTAAATGAGAAAAGACATCTGTTTTATGTTCTTTATATGTAAACCAGAGACGGCTTGTGGCCTAGTCTGTGAGGAAGCTGGCTCATCCTATATACTTTATACAAATATATATTTCTATTAGAATACAATGAAATATTTCTGCTTTTTGAATTCTTATAGACATATATTTGTATATAGGGTGTGCCTTTTAAAAGTAGTCTCCTCATAGACTAGGCCACGAGTCGCCTCTGATGTAAACCATTTAAAATCAACATGGTCTGGCAAAAAAGTTTAATTATTTGAATTATGTTGTCAATATGACCCAAAAGTTGTGAAACTATTTCAAGAATTTTTGAAAGAAATTCAATAACATTTCTTTGTACATAAATAAAACGTCTTTTATCAAAATTTTCTTTAAAATAAGTAAAAGTATCGATGGTCTTCTAACATGTCTGTAAATTAACTTTACACTCTTTGCAGTCAAAACTATTAAGTTTCTTAATAAACCCTGCAACATAACTAGTGGCCTGACTCAAATTCTGCTTTATTTATTAATTTTGTATATATTATTAAAATGAACTTTATCCACACAGGACTCTGTTTGGAGGTGTGATAACAATATTACTAAGTACTACTATCTTTGGTGTATCTGGTTTTGAGGATACTAAAGCAAGGTAAAGCAAATCTTTTAGCAGTCTTGAACGATTTGTGTTTGTAAACAATTTTGTATCAAAATATGATTTTCACATAATGTATAATGATTGGGGTTGTAAGTGAAATGTTTAAAATACGACACCATTCCGTTCTTTGATCAATATCAGAAGGAAATTTAAAAATGTTTGTTCTTAAAATTTACGTTTGGAATGGGCCTTATAAAATGTACTATAACAATTAGAAATTATGCGTTTATAATGAATTCTGCCTGGTAAAGACATGTTAAAGCATCAAAATACCTTTACTTGATTTTAAATAATCCTAAATAACATATCTAAAAAAATAAAAGTAGTTCCACTCACATGTTTTCTTCGACAACCAAATCATAACATAACCACACATTTGTTTGATTTTGATGTTATTTGTTGACAGCGCGCGCGGGGCCCGCTATAGCGGGCAGCCAGCAGTCATGCAGCGGACAGAAAGCCATCTTCACATAGTACAAATAACTAAGTGAAGGTATGTTTTTTTTAGTTTGTTGTAATATATGAATTAAAATTTTTGAAACAACACTTTTTGTGTGTTACTGAACGAGATGTTATTAAATTAATCAATGTGCTTTACATTTTAATACAATTTTGCTATTGTAAAACGGACTTCAGAGCACCCAAGCGCGGAGGAGTATGCGCAGAAACGTGTTTACGTATTGTGCATATGATATAAACCCCCGTGGGAAAATGGCTGCCCGGGTGGCAAGCAAAAACGTTTACGATAGCGTAAATGCGGGGGAGGATTTGAGTCTGCGCATTAGTTAGAATATTGTGACATTTGACATTTAGTTGTCTTGTGATTGTTGTAATTTTTAGCAATTTTTGTACGATTTTTAAAGTTTTTGTGAGTTTTGGAAAGTTATTTTGATCCCTAAAGACGTCCTAAAGACTTCTATAAACAATGGTTAAAACATGTTTAGTTTTATTCTGTCCAAACCGATGAAATAATTCCGAAGAACTTGTCATAAGTAAGTTTTTAACACCAATACAGACCCGTATTTAACAATTATTTTTGGATGAATCAATTAGGTATTTAATTATTGTTCTAGCCCAGTATCCATACTGGGGTTCTAATAAAAACCTTGTCTAGTTATATATAATTATTCGTTTTTATTTGTCTTTTAGGTTAGAAAAAAAAAGGCTTAATGTAATGGAAGCTCCTATAAAGAAAATGTATGCCAAGGAAATATTTCAAAATCGTTCAAGCATTTCTTATTTTGAATTTTAGTCAGTGATAAAACTGTGATTAAAAAGAATGCTACTCCTACTTTATTTTGGCCAAGTAATAAAAAAAAGAACATGTTCCAGAAGCTCATGAACAGAAAATGTCACCAAAGGATGCTAGGTAAGTTTTATTTCTATTTCATTTAAATATAGGTAATACCCTATATGCGTGCTAACACTATTTATAATGAAGCCTTCTTTTTTTTAGTAAACTTTTCAAACCATTTTTTAATAGAATTTTAAGCAGTTCTAATAGTGCTGGCTTTAGAAGATCTACCAAAAGAAATTATTGAAAACTAACCAAAATCATTCATTAATGTGTAAGTTACCAGATTAAATGTGTTTCATAACCAGCATGTAGTTATAAATTATATTTATTAATTTTTATCTGTTTTAGGTTAGATAAAAAGTATTGGAAGATCACACAAAGAAAATTTTAAAATATGTTCGAAGCATTTTGAATTTTAGTCAGTGATAAAACTGTGATTAGAAGGAATGCTACTGCTACTTAATTTTTGCCAAGTAATCAAAAAGAGAACATGCTACAGAAGTTCATGCAAAGGAGGCTAGGTAGGTTTATTTATACTTCATTTAAACATAATGCCTATGCAGTCTATATTATACCACTGTTTTACAGAATTTTAAGCAATTTAGATAGTGGAGATGATCTCCCAATAGAAATTATTGAAAACGAAACAAAAGAATTCATTCTTATGTTTAAGTGACTTGATTGAATGTCATGTACTATTCGTTTCATATGCTTGCATTTGAATATGCACATTTTTTACCTCTGGAGCATTATTATTTGTTTGTTCACATCTACTACATCTGCGTTTGTTTATATTTTCTTTATTTAAAATGATATTTTGAGGATTGTCAAACTTGACATTTTTTGTTGTTGGATTCGTTCCATGCCAGGTTCAGTTACAGGTTTATCGATTTATCCTTTGTTTATGCTAGCCATATATGCTCATGAATATAAAAGTGATCATTTGTTTGATTTTTGTTAAGTTTTCAAATTTAGATTTTTTCTATAATATAGGTATCGCTAACCATCAGTAACTAGAGAGTAGGTATTTTAATTCAAAAAATAGTTTTAAAGTAAATAATCATAAGAAAAATTACAACGACAACTACTTTTGTATTCATATTATAATGACTCAAAGGTCAAACACAAAAAGTATAAAACTTGTCATTGTCATTTTTACCACATGGCTAGTAGGTCTAGAGTGTTTCTTTATTACATCTACATTTAACCCTAATCTTCTGTTACGTGATAAAAATTCACATTTCATCAGATGCATCCTATATGATGATAAACAAGCACAGCTATAAGCATGCAAATTTAATAATCTTAAATCTTTCCATGTAAATATCTGTTAAATAGTGATTTTTTTTAATTGCAGAAATACAGTAAAGAAGACAGAAATGCAGATATCTAAACAAACTAAATGTGGTACAGATATCAAAAAAGACAGCAGACGTATAAATGATGCAATGTTACACTCGTTCCCTTAGCAAGTTCTACCTGTGTTAAAGAAGAGAAATATGATAAGTATCAATGCTGGAACATTTTTACTGTGTCGTTAATGTTTTCAAATAGGTAGTTTTCTTAGAATTAAATGTCAATAAATGGCATGTAGTTGTTATAATTTGTACACCTGATACTCTTATCAAAATATCTACTTGTAATATGTTGTGTATGTTTTGTATTTC